CGACGAACGACCCGTTCCTTGATTCTATAAATGGTTATCGAGCCTCTATTCCTAGCTCGCAAGAAGCCTTGGTGGAAGTGGGCGAATGGCGCCAGTGGCGGAATGCTGATCGTTTTAGGCGTATAAAGCACGGTCACATGCATGGTTGAACTACTCGGCGGAATTGGGTTTGCAGGGTTCGGAGAGGTGCGGAATAAATAGGTGCATACCTTGAAGAACAATGTCAGTGAAGTTGGAAACAGATTTGGAAACGTCCGAACGGAAACAACAATCGTCCAANCATTAACCATGCACTATTGTGCGCCGGTTTTGGTTGCTATCTTTCGGCTGCCCATTTGGATGAACATTAGGAGAAAGACAGGAAAGGTTGAAAGTAGGATCGAAGAGAAAGTTTAAGATTTCGTTACACTAATTTTGCAGAGAAATCGATACGACGCACGAACGTCACTGTTTACGACACCCAGCCATATCACTCAGTGTCTCTAACCATCGGGTATGATCATCCCGAAGTCCCCAGCCAGAGAGCCTAACGGGAACTATGTGACCTAGTCTCCTAGTTAGGGTTTTCCTACCCTCATTCCAGGTTTTAACTTGACCACCCTGGGCTTTATTCCACCCACTACCTGCATCGGCAAACGTCGCTCGCCGTGGCAACGTATCTGGTGACATGCGTGACAGATACCCCAACCAACGTAATATATGGAGGTCGACCACTTGATCCAATGGGCGATCGCGGTTGCCTCAAACTTTCCGTCTGACCTCACCATTGCTCGTCCGGCTACTCCACGAGATTCATGTAATGCTGCGTAGACAGCGATGTTCAAACACCAGCAGTCTATCTTTATCCTGTTTTCTTAATGGCCAAGTTTCTGTTCCATGTAGAAGAACTGGCCGAACTACTGCAGCATACACTGGACCCTTCACAGACAACCGGATGTCGCGACGGTGCCAAAGATGTCTCCAATCGGCAAATACCAACCGTGCCTTCCGTATGCGAGCTGACACTTCATCCGTGATGCGTCCACCGGGTGAGATGTAGTTACCCAAATAACAAAATTTCTCCACCTGCTTTGTTACTTCCCCAGTTGGAGTGAGACTGGGTGCTGGATCGACCCAATCTTGTAGTAACATTTTACACTTTGAAGATGCAAAACGCATACCGAACATGGCAACACTAACACTCAAACTATCCAGAAAAGCTTGCAGCTTACCTGGATCACAATGTCGTCTGCATATTCTAGATCAGACAGCCTGCCACCTGGAAGTAAATCGATGTCGCAATCCTCGCACGAGGATACGGCTGTTTCCATAATCAGATCTATAACAAAGTTAAATAGAAAAGGGGAGAGAGGGTCCCCCTGTCGAACACCACTTTCTGTGGTGAACTCGGGCGAAGGCGTGCCGTATGCTCGGAATCGGCTTCGGCTATGATTCAGTGGGATTGTAATATTGAAATAAGCTTCTCGTGCACACCTTTCAGAGAAAGAGTGGCAAAGTTTAGAGCGGTCGACTGAGTCGAAAGCTGCTTTAAGATCCAGGAAGGTAGAGGTGGTGGGTCTACGAAAAGAATGTCGGTACTCCAGAGTTTGGCGAAGAGTGAAGATGTGGTCGATACAACCTCGGCCAGGTATAAATCCAGCCTGGTTCTCACGCGTGCACTCTTCACGTGCGGAATACAATCGACGGAGTAAGATACCAGTGGGAAGTTCGGAGACGATGTTGATTAAACTAATTCCTCAATGATTTTCGCAGGAGGATCTGTCACCTTTCTTGTAAATCGGTATGATGACCGATTCACATCATTCAGCTGGAACCTGTTCCCTCTCTCACACTGAGCCCAGGAGTTCCAGTAATTTCGAAACCAATGCTAAACCTCCATCCTTAAAGATGGATGGGATAGGTTAGGGCTACGTGTGGGGAGGTCACCTAGTTGGCTCAGGAGTCACTACTATTTGGAGAACGGGATGCAATGCAGAAGTAGTGATTGAAAGAAGAAAACCGAAGTTTCAGTCACATGTTTGGTAACTCGTGGTTGATGAGATTTAAGTGGGAGAACAAGGCAGAAGCAGTTGAATAATAGATAAAACACAAACATCAGCTTTGGAAATGAATGCAGCGTGAAGTGAATAACTGGGAAACTGAAGATGGGTGATGGATGTGGAAGAAGAAAGTTGCCTTTCGGACAAAAATAGAGCAAGAGGAGAACTGGACTAAATAAATTGATTTACAGAATCCATATTGGGGTTCGAGCGGCGAATGTTACTGAGTGTGATTATCAATTGAATATGCATTTGGGTAGTGTTCCTGTTGTTGCATTGACCCGGACGATTGGAGAACTGTCTACCACCGCAGTTGATGATAAGTAATGTCCGACGAGGGAAAATCTTGTGTTTCGGTCAAAAATAAACCCATGGGGAAGAAAATTGGGGAAACTGTTGCAGAATCGACATTTCGATTCAAACGAGAAATTTCAATCAGCAGTGAGAAAATTGTTTGACTTCTGATAGAGTACAGGTTCGATGATCAATGTGAGATATGGTGTGAGAAAAGACCGACAATCCAATCCTGAGACTTGGAGTAGTGAACCCAATAAAGCCTCAGTAGGTGGGGTGTGGTAGTGAGTTGCGGGGACAGCAAGGCTGTCTATCACATATTCCTAAATAGTGTCAACGAGACGCGACAAAAGAAGCCATATGCGAATGTTTGTATTCATTGGTTTCCACAATACATTGGCTTGTGTGTTCGCATCCGGCAATGTCAAATTAGTTTATTCTGTATATCAGTTTTATTGAGACCATATGTGGTTCATCACTCCAACCCTCAAATGTAACTTAGGAATAAGTACAAATAACTGCCGTTCACCAAGTTTGGGTTTCCGATTGACTACCTTGTTGCTTCTGCTCTTCTAGTGACCGCTTTTGCTAACCACATATAACTGCAGGTTAGTCAATAAACGGCTTTTGCTGACTAAGCCCAGATCATTCTGAACATTTGTTTCTCGTTAATGTTTCTAGGTGGAAACTCGCAATGGATTGACGCACACATTCACCTCTATTGATCGTAATGAATATCATCAGCTATACGATTTTGTCTCCTCGAAGAAACTTCGCGTGAAAAACATCGAGTCAGAGGGTAAAGGTGGTACAATCGCACCCGGTGATGATGCTTGGTCATCGTCAGATGAATCGCACGACGCTTACATGGAGAAAGTAAAAACCGAAGCTCGTGAAAGACAACTTGATCTGGAAGACGATGACGATGATGACGAGGACGACGAGGATTTCAAGCCACCACCCGAATCGGATGCATCAGAATTAGCTGAAGAGTATGACAGTAATGTCCAGACGACCACCAGTGAAGATTCAGATTCTGATGATGGTTCGGGAAGTGCATCCGGTTCCGGATCAGCATCGCCTCCACAACCGAAAAAAAGCAAACCAGCACCTGCACCAAAGCCGAAAGTGGACAAACCGAAACCAGCTCCACGTGAGAAGAGAACAAAACAAGTGAAAGATCCTAACGCACCTTCGCGACCACCCACAGCTTACATCATGTGGTTTAATGAACACCGAGAGCGAATCGCCCAAGAAATGGGTGGCTCAAATTCTGTGTCAGAAGTAGCCCGAGCTGCCGGAGAGAAGTGGCGTAATTTGGATAATGAGACTAAGGCGCGCTATCAGGCTCGAGTAGATGACTTACGGAAAAAGTACGAAGAGGATATGCGCATATACAAAGCACGGATAGAATCCGGTGAGCTTCCTCCACCCCCTGAATCAACGAAAAAAGCGAGAGGTAAAGCCAAGTCATCGTCTGCGACAACCAAGTCACCCAGAAAATCTGTTCCCACTGGAAATTTCAAGAGCGCTGAATACGTGGCATCATCGGATGACATGAGCGGTCAAAGTGATGATGACCGCCGCGGTAAAAGCGGCGGTAAAAATGACAGTGGTTCTGATTTGTCAGATTTATCCGAATAAGAAATTTCTATTTGTATTTTGCATTTTATCGTCTGTGCATACATTGTTTGATCGTCAGAGACTTATACAGTAAAGATTTCCCCTTTTATGTCATTTGTTTGTTTTGGCGACCAGTTATGAACTACCTGTCTGATTCGCTTCAGAATAGTTTCACATGCAGTGGCAACCTTGATACGCCAGGGGACATTTCAGTCAGTTTCAGTTTAACGACAATTGATCGTGACGTTTTTGGTTGCGGTCTTTCGTTTGCCCATTTAAACAAAAGAACAGCAGGAAAATTTCAATGTTGCCAGAGGAAGTGTGTAATAGTTAAAAAGCAGTGTTTTTCACACTGCTTCGAATCGTCTTGGTGTACTATACGATTACCGTGGCATAATGTAAAACAAAATCAGCAAAACTGCGCTTCATCCCACAAATCGGAAACTAAAGAACCATGTCCTTACATAAGTTATCGACCTTGATTGAATAGAGGCACATGTACAAGTAGGTTGCGCACAACTAAAAATACAAATGATTGAAAGTTGGAAAAATCGAGCGTTTCAATAGCCGCCCATTTTTGCTTCTATACGGGTGCTGAACACAAGAAGGAATCATACTGGGAACTTGCCTGAGGTGCAGCTTGTGTGGTCAATAAAATGCGTGCATGACTCTTATCCGTTTTCACGCAATTGGTGACGTTTTTAGAAGCAGTCTTGACGTACAGCACCCATTCACCTTTTGAGCCATACTTTAACAAGCTAAAGGCTGAGTTCGCATATCCATAAGGAATTCGCGGGGGTGCCAGGGGTTAATTCCACATGCATCATTATTTGTTTGATAAGCAGTCTGAACGTAGATGAATACGATGCGTGATATAATCTGCGAGCGCCGCTCATTACAACTGAAGTGTTTCAATTTTCCAACCGACAAACTAGTCTTTTCTCAGAGCCCCCCTATAAAATCGACTTACTAGTAAAACTGATACGAGATTCCAGGTATTGTACATCCTGCAGTGGGTTCGTTTGTGTTCTCAACTTACAGCTGAATTCTAGGCGTTGGTGTTCCTCAGGTGACAACATTGAAGTGCTTTCACTAGGACCCACATTTTGTTGTCCGACTCGCAAAACTGAACAATTACAGCTGAATATATTTGTCGGTAAATGTTGTTCACCAACCGTTGTCGCCTGACGGCATCATGAGCTCCGGACTGAATATTCCAAGTTTAATGTAGTGCTCGCACACTAATATCTCTCTCTGGTGCTTTCACTGCGTTCCTCTGCCGTGAGGGTCAGGCTTTGTGTCAGCTTACGTAAACAGTACGACGGACAATCGTTGGATTAGCATGAACAGCACGTGTACAAGCCACCAAAATCTCTGGAGCATAGTGGCAGCAATATGGGGTAGGCTAAGTTTTTCTCAGACAGTGAATCTCGTCTTTTGTTATTCGCGATTACGGTCGGATTCTCACGATACAACAAAAACAATGATAGTTAATTTGTACTGGTCCTCGACATAAATAAGCCAATCCATACAGGTTTATTATAAGACCGCGCGTTCGATGACCTTATAAACTCGGCTGTTCAAGGAATGACCGCAATGACGCCTACGTCACAATTGGCACGGGTTGGTGAACGCCATCCGGGTTTTGCGGATGCGAGTCAAGATCTCTTGTGCCGTTCTTCTTGAGGTGAAACAGTTCTCAAAGGTAAAGAAAATGATCGGCCTTTTCTATCCGGTTACCCAAGAATGTCAATGTGGGGCAAACTCTTGCTGGTCTTGTGGTCGGTGTGCACCTTGATGTGGAACACAGTATTCCAAACTGAGACAGCTTCTTCTATCCTGCCTTACATGATATGATCAGTGAAAAATGAGTCTCAGACTATAGCGACATCTTTTGTACACTCTAAATGACGGAGTTAATCACTAGAACGTCGGTCCTTTTCTTTATTTATTGCAAACTTCCTCAGTAGGGAGGAAACCAGGCAAACCTGTTGCACTCAGCTCATGATGGTAAACGAAGCAGAGATATGACCAGATACCTTGCAGACTTTGAGAATGATAAACTAGTACTTAGATATACCCTTTTTCGGTAAACTAGTTCTATCCACTAAATCAAACGCAGCATACTTGTCTAGAAAGACGACAGTGGTTGATCTGTTGCACGTTTGACAAAGTTTAACTACCTAACGTGGAATGAATTCGGTGGTCAACGCAGCTCCGTCCGGCGCGGAATTCGGTCAGTTTTTGGTGAACGTGCCGTCGACTAGTTTTAGTGTATTTGCAGAAACCCAATGATTAATGCTGTATTCTATGAAGCCCCATGTGATGAGAACTTTATGCGTTAAATCACGGACTTGAGCCCAATGACTGACGGTGAATTTCACTTCACGGTATCTCGCTGTACGATGATGATGATGATGATGATGATGTCTGACGGTGTTTGATGAGGATCAGTAGTTAGTATGGTTTGGTAGCTACGACGTTTGCGTATGACAGTTTCATCGGGTTCAGTCGCTTTCGAGCGACCCTGCTGATGTTACCAAGTAACAGAGAATTTCGCACATGGCTACAAACTAGGTAATCAAATGACGTCGGGCAGATGGAGTTGACCAGTAGGTTTGAAACGATCTAAGCAGCCAATCACAGCTTTTCCACAGAACTGTATAAGCCCGGTCATACTATGGAATGGCACTGTCGATTTCATCTAGCCTAGCCACGAAACGCCCCCAACTGACGTTTCCAGCCCGGAGAACCCTAAAACACCAACACAGTACAAGCAACATCCTCAGTATCACTCAACCTGTGTTGTAAGTCGCACCAATAGCCGTTACACAGCTAAGGGACACTTGTAAAGTAGCACGGTAACGGCGAAGACTGGTGGCATGGCAGGTTCACGTCTGTCTTAATGCTTTATACAGATATTCGCGACCTTTTGTAGATTGACCGCGCTCCAGTCGGAAACCCTTCAGATATCTTCGGTGATAATGCGCGATCATTTATTTGATGAAGCGATATCCACCAGTTGACACCTAGCCAACTGGTTGGTTGTTCTCCTATCCGCGAGCTGGAGATGCACTGAGTAGGGCACACTCCCGCTAATTATGGACTTGTAGTAGTAGTTTGACACGGTTTAAATCAGATGGGGGGACCACGAATAACTTCTTCATAATTTTACCGACCCGTTAATGAATTATCAAAAGCCAGAAAATTTCGGCCACTGATCTCTTTCTTAAAGTGGCCATTGCTATTTTTTATTCATTAGAATAAATGATCACTGCTGGGTACAGGGTGTAATTGGTATCGCACTAGTGACCAGTTGACTCTTCAAGTTATGGCAGTGACAAGGTTCGTGCGGGTGAAAAGCATTTCGACTTCGGTTGAAAAATCCGTTTATTAGTCAGATCGTACTGATTGCTTTCGAGGATTCCAGCGAGTTTATGGCAGTATAAAAGGACTCTGGATGCATTTTTGTAATATGGTTGTTCAGTCGCTTAATTGTTTCATTCACTCATAGTACAACTAAAAAGACAGAACGCACCATATATACCAATGCGACGGTTTATCTTTTGTCAGCTGCATCCCAGTGGATACGGCAACACTGTGCCGAGCAACTGAGAAAGTTAATCAAGAGCGCTTTTGGGCAGGACCTGTTTCACCGCTTGGTTATTTCTAAATACATTGGGTAATCTAAATTCTGTCAAGTCGTGTTTTCGATTGGATCTGTTCATGATGCACTCCTATTCACTTCGAATACAATACACGACAGTGTCTGACCGTCGCACTAGTTTTGTTGTAGCACTGCTAATCCTAGCTGCTTGTGTGAGAAGAAGACCAGGAGGGATAAGTGTGTGGACAGACCCATCAAAGCACCGCCTATCGAGAACTAATTTTTATAGAAACAATCATTTAATGGTAAGAGCGTTTAAATCATCCATCAATATGCCAATTCTAGTTAAAGCCAAGGTCTGCTCAGGATTGTAACTGGATTTCGTGGTGAACTGTGAAATTTTCGGTTGATTGATCGGAACTCAGTCCCGAATACGGAGGAAGATTCAGCACTAAATTGAACCAAAACAGGCTTTTGCCAACTCAAGGACTCGGCACCATCGCTGTGTTATTTGGGACTGTTTGAATGTGCTAACAGTCACACAGGCAGTGCAGTAGTATACGATTCTTTTCCAATTCACGGAAGTGAGGTTACCTAAATACTGCACCATTTCAAGAATTGAACGATTCATCATATCTTGACCTGGATAAAAGACTGAGTTACCGGAACCATTCAGGGAGGAATCACGACCCGTAGTTTGCATGACAGCTTCGAATTTTTGGATCCGACCGAATCTGTCAACCTAAAGGGAGGGCGGTGATCTCTAAGACAATCGATCTTCCATCCCCATACGTTGAGCAAACTGAAATGAATGTTTAATAAACCGGTAAGCTGATCCAAAACTTACTTACTTATTTGTGTATTCACAATGTACAGTTCGTCCTCGACGGTAAAAACTATGACCATACAGACAGGGTCGCTGTGGGTTCTGCCCCGGGATTCGCCAGTACTCGAACTCTTCATTGCTAATCTTGGAGATATTTCATCGCAAAGTTAACAGACTTCGCACTAATTACTTTTGTATCTTAAAGTTTGTGATGGATAATATCAATAATCTGACAGTTTTGAATGGCTTTAACTCAATCACATTACAGATGGAATCACAAAAAGATCATGTATTCCTAGAGGTAATTTCCCCGCAGCTCGGATATGTTAATCGAGGGAAGTATACAAGCAGGGTCTATGTTCAACGGACTGCAAAGTGACGAACACATCTGTTGTTGTATATGCTGATCGGTTGATAAAATTTACACAAATCGACCACTAAAGCGCTAAACCTAGTTAAAAAGTCGAGGCTATTTACAAATGACATTGGTAGAGAAATTGAGCAAACACTTGGATGAGATTACTAGTCATCAGCTCGTACTCTCATCTGATCCTTATGTGGTCACAGAATCGTGGTTACCGGTTTTCT